TCTATAGATTTATTGTGTAAATATTTCAACTCAATTCCCACCTGCAGTTGACGAGGGACAAAAGATCGAAAAGCTCTCCAACATGCTGGTAGATGTAATTGTTGACATCTGTGGTGTAAACACCTAAAATCATATCTTCTTCTGCAAGCACTCTAAGGTAGTTGTCAATGATTACCGTTTAACAGCGCCAAGAATCCTTGTGGTAATTCGGTGACTAAGAATACTACCAACATGATGATTAACATGTATGTAGTCCTGTCGGGAACTGTAGTTTTCTTGATGTGTTTTCGAAAACTTTTGGAATACAGATAATTCCGTTTTTCATCTGTTTGTCGTAGTTTTAGAACCAATGCTATCGTGAACCACAGCAAAATACCGCATGGAATTGCCTGAAAAGAACGAACAATAATTTTATTCGTAAATCAAAGAGATTTTGAAAATGTGCCTCTAGATAGCTAAAATATTTGATAATATCATAGATTTGTTATATTTAGCTACAGATTATCTTTCTCCTACCTTCATCACAACAGCTAACATCCAGAGATTGAATTTATAGAATCCACATGAGTAATTCGAGAAGTCCAAAGTATATGATGGCGCAGAGTTAGCGTGTTCTGAAATAGCAACAAATATTGGATAATAACAACTTCTAGAATGGTTTGTAGAATAAACAACTACGAGAAAAGGCGGATGGGCGGCGGCGTTCAGGGGAAAAGTTACATTTTTAGACTTCTTGTACCATTTTAGAGTTGATTACGACGCGTATAAGGAGAATCAGTAATTACCAAATATTCTTTTATTCAAATTCTAACCCTAAGTACCACAATATTCTCAATTACTTCAAATCTAAATTTGTTTGAAGGCATTCTAACTAAAGAAAGAGTTTATTTTTCAAGTTAACATTCAAACATCTTTCATATGCCTTTCATAATGAGTTTAATTCATACGTTATACCTTATCAGAAATCTGTTAATTAAGAAATAATTCATGCAAAATAGATTTTAGAAGAGCAACATATTGTCTTTCTGCAAAATGAGGCTTGAGGAGACTCTCCTTTATTCGTTTTCCGTAAACTGCTATCATCTCGCGAATTTCCAGAAAAAGTAAGAAGAAGCCAAGCTGAACTGCTAGTCAATCTATTACATAAGCTCCTTAGGAAAGACACATGGAGCGGAGGATTTGAGTGAGAAGACAATACTAAAATATCCTAAGGCAAGTGTTTACCTGGAGTAACCTCGAAAATCTCATGTAGTATCATCGTTGGCACACACATAATGGAAATGGAGACAGTGACTACTCCAAACAGTTTCCTAAACAAGAAGGAATGAGATGACTATTAGCGAAGCATGCATGGTTACGTAAAATTGTTTGCTCACTATTAGAACATGGCAAACAAGTCCTTATTCATTTCCTCATTCTATGATAATCAAATTCTGCTTAAAGTTGAAAACTTGCAAATGAGATGTGCATATGTTAAGAACTTTGTGAATTGCAGAAAAAATAAAGCAAGCAAGAATTCGTGAAAAAAAACTGCTGATTTCCTTGTAGGAGAAAAATTATATTTCCTGCATAATTCTCTGAAGCATGGTGGAAGCAAAATGTTAGTTGTTGAGCCGCACTAATCCCAAGTTAGGTAGCAAAATAACTGTTCTCTAGGAGAGAGATCCAACGTAAGAATTTTGCTTGAGCGATGAGATTAATTCGCATTCTAATTAAAATTTCTCATCTGCATATATAAGCGAAGCGTAGAGATGACTAAATTTTTATCAGAGTCCTTAGAGCACTTCACTTCAGTAGCTGTTAAAGCTACTCGGATGACGTTATATTTAATCTTTCCTACCCCCTAATCTTCTTTTTGTTATTCTGTGTAAGCTACTGCCTGAAGGGCTTTAGCGTATTTCTAGACGTGGTTAGCCCCACACACAAAATGAGAAGCAAATTATAAAAAGAAGCGAGAAGAAACTGCTCAGGGAGCTTAATATGCGCGGTAACAGGTGAATGTACCTAGGGAATTAGCTTATTTCAGCTTTATACTATTGCGCCCAGTATCAGTCAGCTTCTGATAATGAGTCTACCGCTGTCTATCACTAGATATCTTAATAAACACTAAAATGAACGCTAATCAATTTCTAGTGCCGACAGCTTGAAAATCTGTAGCATTATGAGCTAAAAGCAATAAAAAATCTATATATAAAGCACAATGTGTGTGTGTCTGTGGGTTTGTATGTTCCGAATACAATTCTTTGTTCCTGAACCGATCCGGACCAAACTTCACACACATACACTATAGAGCATTGCGGAGAACGTAGGTCACTTTATCTGGGAAAATATCGATTGATGTTATCGATCTATTGATTTTTTCGCAGTTCTCGCTCTAGATAGCTGAGAGTTGGTGTACTGGGGTAAATTGGTATGCTGAATTCAAATATGATAACTAATTAAGAAATTTATGGATTAAGTCTATTGATTTATTGATTTTTCGCAGTTTCTGGTCAAAGGCGGTGGGGGTTGGTGTACTGGAGTAACTTGATATGCCAATTACGAATCCAATATCCTCTTGAAATTTTATTGATCCATCCTATTGATTTATTGATTTTACGCACCTTTCGTGTTGAGGAGCTGAGAGTTTATG